CGGAATGACTAATGTGCAGCAGTTTTGATGTAATATTCAACAACTTTTTTTTTGTGTTCGTCAGATGTGGTATGTGTCTCCAGTTCAAAATGTGGTGGTTTGCTCAATGCTTCAGTGGCGCCACCATGACAAATGCAAGCACATTCCCAACTAAAACATTATTTGCGATGAATGTGATTGTGAGTATTATGTCTGTTTGTCTGTGGTCAACTGTTTCAACCCCTTCTGGTTCTGTCTTATCATAAATTCAGCCTTCCCTACACTCAAAATAATCTTCACGTTAATGTTACGCGAAAACATACATAGATTTTTTCCATAGCACTTTTCACGTAGACGTTACGTGATTCTCATATGGAAGCACTCATTTCAGTAAGCTTCAACGTCACTGGATTATCACATAGAAGTTACGTGATTCTTTCAGTACAGCTCATGGTGGTTTCTTATGATGTTAATTCTGGTGCGATAAGGCCAGTGACAAGGCCTGTACCATCAGCAGCGTTTGACAGTAGGCAGCATGTCCCGGGCTCAAATCGTTTATTTTGCTGTTTTGGGCCCGCTGTCACGGTATAACATGTTGCCTACGCGCCTGCCACTGGGCGGGTGCGATTTTTATAAAAATTCATTCTTGATATCGAACGGCGCCGGTGGTGTAGTGGTAAGCGTGATTACCTCTCACCCCAGCAGGCCTGGGTTCAATCCCAGTCGGCGCCGCCGGGATGTTCTGAGGCATAACATCTCTGATCACGCCTTCCTTCGGATGGGAAGTAAAGCCGTTGGTCACCGGTTCATGAGTTGATGGGTCGATAGGTAGGGTCCAGATGTGGGAGAACTGCTTTCCTGGCACGTCGGTAGCCTTGGTGCTCAGCACGGAAAACAAGATCCACGGAAAAAACAAACCAAAGAAAAAAAAAAATCTTGATATCGCATTAGACAAAGATCTAGATAATATTATTTTATGCACATGCCTTTATTTTGTCATAAAATATATACATCGGCAAAATAAAAACAATTTGGAATTAGATTCGATCAGAACAAGGATCGGGAACGAGAAAACATACATGTAATACAAATACCTATCCTGCATTTGACCTTTCACCATGTATGATGCTGTCACACTAAAAGAGAAACAGACTTAATTATTCTCTATGTAAATGTTTAATTCATTAAACTTACCACATTAAATTGTTCCACAAAAAAGTATCACCTAAAATAATCTGAATTCACACTTGCATGAAAATATCCAAGAGAGAGGCGCCAGCTAGCTCTGCTGCCGATCGCGTAAACGTCAATGCGAACCAGTCATGATCTGTCACTGCGAACCGAAATTTTGATTCAATAAAGTGGGGGAAGTATTGTTAATCGGAAAAAAATCTGCGTATTGTTTTTTTTTCAAGATAGTTTTTTTGAAATGGCAGTTAATGACGGTGCGGAATACAAATGTTTTTGGACGTTCGGCATTTCTGTTACTTATTGTGAAGCAGGGAGAGGGTGTTATTAGTAGTTTTCACGCAAAGGATTTATTTTCCATTGAAATAGAGACAACTTGTAGGGATTGAAGTGAACAATCGAATTTTGAAAAACATGTCAGTTTTTAACGCCCGTATATCTTACACAGTATTTTGAATTATTTTTTTCCAGTAGATTTCTAAGAGTTATGATACATTAATACAAAAAACGTTATGACGCGTTTTGAGTAGTTCAAGTTCCAAGTTCAAAATCTGGCCACTTCTCTTGGGGCAGGCGGAATGAACCTGAGGGTGGCCAACTCGGTTCAGGACACTTATTATGGCTACCAATAAGCTCGCAATCAAAATACGAATCATTTGATGTATCGCATAATGGGGTTTGTTGTTATTGAATTTCGTCTACTTCCCCGGAGGCCTGGATAAAGTCAGCAATTTAATTCCAAGTCGTTTGATGGGTTTTAGGTCAAGCTTTGTTTTGCTTCAGAATGGGTCGCCATGTTTTATTCGTTTAAGGTCAAATGTTCCGTGGGATCCCATAATTAACAACTGTGTCAAAGAAATCTTTTGAATCTTATGTTGCTGTAAAATGTTAGAAGTGGCATGATCTCTGCGGTGTGATCTACCAAAAATTTTATGAAATTATGGAAATCTTCACTGTGCTTTATTTCTAAAAAAAAAATACAGAGTGGATCCACTCAACTGCAATGTTAAATTCATATCCACACTGTTGTATGCTAACAAAGAGTCTACAAGGGTACAAAATGCATGACGTGTGTTCCATCAACGGTCAAATGCTCTAAAAAATCCAAGAAACGCATTTTCGAGATAATGAGAACCGATAACTGAGTATTTGTAGCAATTCCGTAATAATTGATCATTTTGTCAAGCTTCTGCATTCATGTTCCATCAGATGTCACAGCTGTTGTTTGCGGTGACATCTATCGGAAACTACACACAATCTGTTTTCCTATAATTGTTCACAGAGGACACTGCAGTGCAAAACATGTCTGGTACCTCTATATATGCATTTAGATTATTATTCGAAGTCCCTCCTTTTTTACACATTCTGCACACAAAATAGCTCACCCCTCACAGAATTTCCCGCCGAATTTTATGTATGGGGCTTTCTTTTGCGCAGAGTATGTAAAAAAGGAGGGACTTCAAATGTTAAAGCAAATGCATATATAGAGGTACCAGACATGTTTTGTAGTGTCAGGTACTCTATTTTGTAATCTGTGAAAGGGAAATCACAAATCGAGTATCAACAAAATACTTGGCATGTTGAGAGATTTAGCTCGTGAGAGAGAATTTCTCTCTCAAATTTGATTTTTTTTTTTGGCTCTCTTGGGACTGGTAGTAAAGCAGGTAAAATTGTATGGGGAAAAATCATTTTTATTTAATTGTAGCTTGTTTAGCATTAATTTCCGGGAGATAATTGAACCACAAAGCCCCTGATTAATTTCTTTAGGTTGTCGTTCACTTTTTTTGACCTGAATATGCACCGGAAGCGAATTATTCGCACTTCTCTCAATTTCTATATGGGGATTTTTATCACTTCCTACCAGCGGAACAGCGCCATCTCTGTGGAAATGGTCGAACAAAATGATTAATTGCGAATAATTTTTAATACAACCATAACCATAACAGATAGGGTACCACAAATCGTTCGCATAAAGTTCAAATCTCAGCAGTTAAGGTTGCAGTTTAGATGATTAACCATTCATGATAAGGTTCTATCATGGTTTGAATTATGCGGCTTAGCGAAATTTTATTTCAGTTTCAGGGTCGTTACTGTTTCCAAAATTAGTGACACAGTTGAAGCTGGTAAAAAATTCGTGATACGATAAACCAGACGAAGAAAATCTATAGGGAACCACTAATTTATCCGTTAAAATAACCTGTGCCAAAGTGTACGTCCTGGATTCTTCGTATCAGTGTGCGGGCACTAGGAAGTACTACATATGGTAGTTTGAGCAATTACTCGTATCCAGCTCAGCAAGCAAATCTGATTCGCAATCCTTCCGTGATAGTTTCGTTGGACCACTTCTTAACTTGTTTCACCTTCCCTGTTACAACAGAAAGCTGGTCCGGTCGAAATTTTTCTTTCAATTTCTTTGCATCATCAACTTCTCTCTTTAAAATTGAAAACTTGTTCTTCCACAAAAGCGCTTCTTTCTTCCATTTCATCGCCCTTTTTTCATTTTTTTTTTTTGCATATCTAGAATATATAACGTTGGGTAGAATATTTATTAAAACAAAATCTTGTCACTCATATTTAAGTACCTGTCATAGCTTTTGATTTACTTTTTCATTTTGCAACAATCAGAAAATTTAATCTTGGTTGCTTTTGACTTTGTCGACGCATTCTCCGTGGCGATAATGATTTCTTGATCCGCGTTTTCAATGTCATCAAATTGAAAATCCGGCGGGATTGCTTTGAAATCAACGTATGTGTGATCCAGAAGCGACGGGCAGGAATAGAGTGGTAAGGATGTCGATAGGATCGCTGGGTACCCGTCGTCTTCGTCGTTTGTCTCGTCATCGTCATTGATCAAATAAACACACAATGTAGGGATTGCAGTTTTGCTCAATCTGGTGCTTTTGCCAGCCTTAGCATAACAGATCGCATCAAAATGCATCTGCAAAACAGTAAATCATTTCTAATTTTTCACGTTTCATGATTATTTGCATATGTATTATTTACGTACGTTGCATCTGTGACAATAAAATCAGCTCCTACATTACAAAACTCAACCCACCGTGCTTGAAGCAATGGATCGTTTGGAAACCGGTGAAACAACACATCCGGGTGGGTTTTCTTGTTCCGGCCGCAACGCTTCACTTGACAACGCATTTTACCTGTTGTGTATTACTTTTAACCTCCTCCTAATCAACAGAATTCACAAAATCCACAAAATCAAACCCGTTTAATACGAACCCGATAGCTCTAAGCAATATGCAGTAAGATACTTGCTCACAACATACAGTTCACGACAAGTTTGAACACTCCGACGGCAAAACTATATCAACAAACCGAGTGACAAACGCGCAACCTCGCTTGAATGATTCTTTCCATCAACAATTTTTTCAACAAAAAGGAAGAAGAAGAAGACAACCAAAACAAAGTATCTGTCATTTGAGCTGGCTCCTCTCTCTTGGGAAAATATGCCCTCTGAACTAGCGCCATATTGAGTGTAACTCATTTTTTTTTCAGACGTGAAAATCACTTAGGGTTTACGTGAAACGCACATAGAATCTGTGTATGGGAAAATTACGTAAACTTCATTAAAAAATGTAGAGGTTGCAAATGGAATTTCCCCTCATATATAAGTGGTGTCATGTAGATTCTACTTTGGTCATGTAAAATTGACGGCAAACCAAAAAGAGATACTCCACGGAACTATAACGTGTCGATTATTTTGAGTGTAGGACACCCAATTTAATACGAGAATGTCGCTTGTGAAGCTAAAATAATCTGCGATGTTATTTTTTACCTTTTGATAATTTCGGATAATCGTCATTAATCGAAAACCATTTAATTTTTAAATAATTATATTTTTTATTAATATTATTAATTTCATTAGACTGACAATATGCTCCAGGTCCAAAACGACGGGACATTGTAAGTATAGTTTGTATCAATTCTTTGTTTCTTCGTATGTATTTTGCTTTAATTTTTATTACACAGTAACCGGTTTGTACAAATATCCTTAATATATTTACAGTTCCATTAAGGTTTTCTCCTTGACCAGGATTGTTTTACATTTTTTGCATTTGTAGTTAGTAAGATTTGTAAACTTTGTTTCCTCGAATAAACACGTGTCGCTCAGACATGCGGTTGTAAATTGTCCTGTTTTAACCATGTTAAATGTTATTCGTAGATATTTTAATAGTAAAAGGAGGACAGGGGTGCACAAATGAACAGTTGTGGTTAGTTAGTTTTGATTCGAAGAGTAAGTTATTGTTCTGTGGTATTTCCATATACTGTTTGGGTTTTGTGATTGTTGCTATGTGCTAAGTGAAATAAATTACAGAATAAATAATAGAAAACTTTGGATACAGAGAAATTTTTAAAACAAAAACACTGCTTACTGTTGTACTGCTGTGGTTTGAGATGAGACAGTCAGTCTCTGCTAATCCTGTTTGCTTGTTTGAATATGGGCGTTTATTTTTTAAGTAAACTATGAATACTGATTGTTTTGTTTTTGTTTAAGTGATGCTGAAGTCCAAAAAGGCATATGTGTGATTTTTAACTGTGTGAATAGAAGGCAAAGACTTTGAATCAGCCAGCCAATCCTTAACATATATTACGGCACTTGCTTCTTGTATGTATAGCTTCTAAACAATCCTTCTGGATATCAACTTGTCATTATCTCCCTCTGAATAAGGAACCGTTTCTTTAGAAAACAACTTAAGCTAGTTGAAACGATGACGTCCAACGATGACACAAAAATGGGTGAAAGGTTACAAGAGCGAAAGCCTCATGATTCAATTTTACCTTAGTACGTGACTCAGAGTAGAATTTATGATAAATTATTTTAAGCAGGGAAATCTCTTTGGTTTGAGCCAAGCCTCTGGGGATAAGATGCGAGTTAATTTATCTTTTTTTTTATTCATGGGGCACTTAATTACTGGTATTACTCATTGTCTGGTAATTCGATTGCTGGCAAATAGCAGCCGAATTCCGCAGATTTTTGTTTGTGTCGTACTCGTCACCGTTTCGTTTTTTTTTAATGGTTATCATACTGCTTTTCTGACATTCTGTCTGCAAATGATAATAACAATAAATTTTCGTCACACGGGACAAGGCTAAAATTAACCAAGCTTACGGCTACATCGCTAACTAAAAACAAGAAAACAAAATCACAGTGTCAATTCGCATTCGCTTACGTTCTAAGGGTTTAGTGAAGAGCATGTCAATTTTAGTGGCGGGGGGATTAATCTTTAGAATTGCTTTGTATTTGATGCATTCGTTTGCTAAGCTTGAAAAAGTATATTTGGGCGCAAAGCAGGAATCACACACCGAGTCCGTTCTACCTTTGCAATATAGATAGGCACATGCGAAATCATGTCTCAGTCCTTTTCCGTAAGGCTATCAGCGTAGGTTTGCAAATTTTGCGTAAAGTTGTATAATTTTTAAATAGTTTTTCTTTCGGCTTCAAATGCTACAAATATACTTTTGCGTTTCCGAAACATTAAAATTAAGACACAATTCACTCCACTTGTCAATCGATTATCGATTAATAATCACCGGTTGGTCGGTTAAATTTTCCGAATAACTACACAATAATATCGCTAAAAAGTCGTCCTATCCTTTTTCTACGGAAAACAATATCTATTGTATGAAAAATGTCATTTTGCTTCTCGGTTACTTTCCACAAGAAAGTAGCCATCTTATTTTTCCTATTCGCTAACTGCAAACAACAATACAATACACTACGTTTGTTGCAACAATGCAGGACTTCTATGTCGACTGTTTTTATAACCCTAAAGGTCACACGCAAGAGCTAAAAATCAAACTCACGACACGCACACACACACACACAACAAACGCGACCGCTAAAATTCCCGAACTAACACGACAAATCGCACACGGCCACTATTTCCGGGAAGAATCGCTTCCATTATGCTCAGCTTTGCTGCTGCTACCGTTCCTGTTGCGTCCATCATTGCTAAAAGTGCAAGAATTGGGAGTGTTTGGAGAAGAATTATACCGAAGACATCATATCAAGAAGACTGGCAACTTTGCCAGAATCAAAGCGACAGATACAATAGCGCTGCGCTTGAAGGTGGAAGCAACGCTTAGAAAAATGAGCAAATACACAAACCTTTCTTCTGAGGATGTAATCTTTGCTATCAAATTCGTTCGAAGCATTTACCTTTGAGCGACAGATGACGCGATTGTACCTGTCTCATAGCGTTTGTATGAGAAAATGGAAGAGTTGCCAGTCTTTTTGATTTGTTGTCTTCGATTAGACTCAAAGTAACGCACTCTGGTCGCACAGTAGTTGCTGGAACTGCTAGGTAACTAGCAGTTGCTGCAACCTGTTCGGCTCAACGTAGGCTACTTGGATGTGGGTGGTCTGGTCTGTAAGCCTAACACTAACTCTATTGTAGTAAGAAGGAACTGGTCTTTGTTTGACTTAATCTAGATGTGTGTTACGCTAAACTAACATCCTGTTCTAATGCTGACTGTTTTCCGTTTTGGATGGTGTAGAGGACTGTGTACGCGTCTGTTGCCACGGAATTTGGTTTTGATAGTTCTTTTGTGAAGATTTGAAGAAGCTGCGCGGAGAGTTGCTTTTGACTAAATGTGAGCTAGTTTGGAATTTTAGGCGAAGTTTCCGGGCACTGACAATTTTCAGAGCAATACAATAGAATTCTAGAAACTGATTTGAACTGGTAAAGTAAAATTCTGGACAAAACTGCAGAATGTGAGATTAAGATAATCAATGTAATACACTGACAACGAAGCTTACTCAGAGAGTCAGTAACTTTTACTCATCCGTATGGATAAATTTTCAAAAGCGTGGGTTATTCATGTACTGATTGACCACCAGAAATACAGACGAATGAGTAAAAGTGACTCATTGTTTTCAGTGTAGGTAGATTTTAAGAGACCGTTTAAAAAAATGTACAGTTCTAGATAGAGCTGGGAATAGGGCGTAACAGCTTTTGTAAACAATAACTTTTCTCGATGATTTATATGAATTCAAGGCATGCTCACGCAAACCAACATAACCATCTCGAAGGGGAGGTTTTTCCTTAGCCGAAGTTGATGTTGATTTGCGTGGGCGAGCCTTTACTTTCTGGAAAACATCGAGAGAAGTCATTGTTTACAAAAGCTGTTACGTCCTAATTCCAGCTCTATCTAGACATTCTCATTTGTTCATGAAAACTTCAGTCTTGAAAATACCTACTTCAAAATTTGAAACCCTGACAATTTAAATAAAAAAGGATTTAAAAGGTTTCATTCAAAAAGGCCCGAGTATTTTTTCAAAAATTTGAACTCCAAAAAACACTTCAAGTTTAGTAATGACCATTTACATTTAACAGGCCAAATTATCGGGCCTATTGAATCACTGATTTGTTATGAATTTGTTACCTCCCACCTCAGTTCCAAGTTTCCCAACGAACCAGCTGTTCGCCCCGCAAAACTTCAAACCCATTCCCCAAAATGTTCGAACCCTATTTCTACCCAAAACCTAACCACCCTACCTCACAGCTTCCCTCAAATCTGTCTCACTGCCCTGAACAACCAAAGCATTACCTCTGCTACTTTCATCAGCCAATTCCACCCTATTTGGCGTACTACTACTGCTCGTTCCAATCCCACTGCTGACCGCTTCGGTCCCATCGCCCCCTGGATGACCCAACTCCCCACGGACCCCTCCTGCATCCACCGAAAGGCTCCGCCTCTGACCGATCACCGCCGCCGGTTTGTCCAACAACGCTGGATTCTCAATCAACAACTGGTACAGCTTGTTGACCTGTATCTGACTAGGTTGCTGCTGTGGCTCGGCCTGCTGCTGACCACCACCACCACCACCACATACGGTCGCTTCCATCGAGGAAGCCACCAGAGACGAGGATGGATTCGAAGACGCCGAGGACGGATGCACAAACGTGGGAAATGTCTGCGAATTGGCCATCCGGGAAATGATCGGTGGCGGGAGATCATCGCTGAACACGATCTTGGTCGGATCCGTGTTGACCAAAATGGCCGTGGTTGCGTTGACCGGTGGAATCGGTGGCGGAGGTTCTATTCGAGGATCCGCATCCGGATCGTGTTCGTCGTAAGGGTAGGCACCTACCAACTCCGCTGTTTTACGATTTAGGCTCTGGAAGAGACACTTGAGATCATCGTGACTGCCGCCGCGGTGTGCGTTGGTGGATCCGGTAGCGGAGCCACAATCCCCACCAGTCCCTGAATCTTTGGAAGAGAGATCATCGTCCATGTCGTCGGATTCAGCACCGTTGCGACGGGTTTTCGGGGGAACCTTGGGAACCACCGTATAATAGCAACGGTTTGTCGAGGGGTTCTGCTCTTCATCGTCTACGTTCGTCGTTGCCTCATTCTGAACCATCGGTATAAGGAACTCAAAGTAACCAGCTGGAGCCGATCCGATACCACTGCGAACGATCAGATTCTGCTGATTGGCTTGCAAATTGTCCGGATACGCCCCGAAGTCATCGTTCCGCTTCCGAATCCGGTACATCACTACCATCCAGATCAGAGACGTCAGTATACAGCAGCAAATGATCGTAATCAGAATAATAGCCACAATGTCCCTATCCTTCAGAACATGACCGGTGACGACTGTCTCCGTATTCGTACTGGGAATATCATCGTGAACCAGCTCCGGTGCTTCAATAACCGAAAGCTTCATCGAACCTCTCTCGCTACCAATCTCATTCTCCACCTGACACTCGTACTCCCCGGCATCGTTGAAATCCGTCTTGACGATGATCATCAATTGGCCTTCCGCTATCACGAAATGCCTCTCGGTCATCGCGAGCAGCTCTCCATCCTTGAACCACTGGATAGAAGGTTTCGGATATCCCGATGCCGAACAATCCAGCACAATGGACGTCCCAAACTCGGCACTTTTCGACTCCAACGGTTTCACCAGTGTCGGCGACTCAAGCACCAGTACCGAAGCGCTAGCCCGGATCACACCGGCCGCATTCTCCGCCGTACAGGTGTACACTCCCATATCAACTATCTGTGCATTGATGATGAAGAACGCATCTTCATCGGGTTTGACGTGCATCCGTCGCTCCTTGGCGGCTGGGAAATCGCTGCCACCGTCCTTTTCCCAAGCGATCTGCGGCTTCGGATCCCCCGCAGCTGCGCAGTCCAAACGGGCCGATTTGCCCACTTGTACGCTAATGTTGCTGGGAGCCTTTTTGAAGAGCGGATACGTTCCGACGGTGACTTTGATCTTCTGCGAGTAGACTACCCCGTAGGTGTTGGTTATGATGCATTGGTACTTGCCAGCCGCTCCGTTTTGGATGTAGGGAATGGTGAGTTGTGTGGACCCAACGGTACCGTTGTCGTTGTTCAGCTGGGTTACGACGGAATCCGAATCGGGCAGTTCTTGATTGTCGTGCTTCCACTTGAAGGTCATGACGTCCGGTGCCGTCGAGGTTGCCGTGCACACCAGGGTGACATTGGTTCCGCGGATTCCGAGTTGCGTTTTCGGTTCGTCAATGAGGTGCGGTTTGGGCGAGTCGTCTGTAAAGAGAGGGAGTAGAGAAGGGGAAAATTGATCACATTGCATTTCAAGGAATAATTATTGTCATTGCATTTCGTTTCCAATTAAGCCCACTATTGTAAAGAAATTTGTTGAGGCAAGTTCTGTGATATCCAAAGGAAATCCAAAGGGTTTTGGAGGCAAGTTTGGAATTGGAGTCCACTGGCATTAAACGAGTTGGCCTCTAATCATGTTTGTGGCAGTTCAAGAGGATATTGGGAAACAGTTCGAGGATACTTGGATTACAGCTCTCAGCGACCACGCAGAAACGATGTAGCATTTAAGAGGGGACAGGAGGCCTGCAAAAGCTGTAACCAGCCATGCATTAGATAAAGCAAGATACGCTGGTGAAAAATATGATAGATCATTGAACGCATGGTCCTTTAAAGAAAATTCGAGTTTCCGTGACCCCGCGAAATGATGAGGAAGATAGTATTAGATTCCAAATAAGCCATAGCCCTAGCAGCACACTTGTCACTGAACAGCTATCGTTAATTGTATGTGACTCAATTTAGTCACAATCAAGTTGCAGCTACTTATTATGCTGGATGTGTGTTGGTTGGAAGACGTCCACATTCATCAAGATTAAAATAAACCAATCTAAGCCTCTCAACAGGTTTACTTGGTTTCTGGGTCTAGATTTGCGATCCTAGTGGATTTTCGAACATGCGTCCGAAGCCATCTAAGCTCCCCTTCAAAAAATTTTAAACTTTACCGTTATCATTAAAGTACTGACTTGTTCTGAAAATCTTTTAGTTTAGGCTTATGTTTAAAGTAGACGCGGCTGCCCATTGAATTATCGAGGACTTGTCCATGGAGATATTTGAACTTATACTTAAACTAGATGTTTTCGATGCATAGAGGATTTTTTTTTTCCTTGGGGTTGAATATAATGATTCGCTAAAAAGGTTTGCATACTGTGCTTTAGCTTTGGATTTCTTATAGTTCGAAACAAATTAATTGGTTATTAATGATTGCAATGGTGATATTGAACCTACTACCAATTAATTTGTTTCGAACAATTGGAGTTTTTTTTGACTGGAGAGCGAGAATTCATGAGCCCCACCTGTTCACTTTGGCCCTCTTACCCCTTACACTGAATTGGCAACGATCTTTGTAGGGTGAAAGTTTCATTGGATCAGTCCAAGGAAGGACGCGAAGAGCGTAACAAACGAATTTCCCTTGAACAGACTCGATCCTCGCTATCCAAACTGTTTCATACGGACACCATACTACTACACCAAATTCCAAGATCGATCGCACTAGAGAACAGTATAGAGCTGTCAGACAGGTAGGATCCCGAAACTCATCAGAGATTTTAAAGATAAATCCAAGTTGCCTGTTAGCTTTGGCTATGATATCCGTGTAATGTAGCTTAAATGTCAATTCACAATCAAGTGTGACCTTCTTGCCCCTAGTTCCCCTACAGTAGCGTCAGAAACAGAAAGTCGATGAAGAGAATCGATCAAAATCACTTGCTCCCCTGCTTCTAAGTTTGGTCGATGAGATGTAATTGAAAACGCAATTGGTGACTGCTTTTTTGACCCACTAATTAACTATTATGGGTCTACGCTTGTGAGGTCCTATGTGACAACTGGGATAAGTTCACAGGCCTTATGAGTACATTTGAATCTCGATCAAACTTATCAATCGACGTCATAGATTTTGGGTCAACTTCCGAATTCGAGGATCTTAGCGTTCAAGCTTCTGGGTAAATGCCAAAGACTAAATGACTAATAGTTGTAAAAATAGTAACTAAAAAGTGACCTAAGAGAAGAAACGTAATCGTTATGATGGCACACCAAATAAATGTTCAGGGTGTCGACTCAACGAAGAAAACAAAATTCCCTGATATTCCCTGATTTTCCATTAATTTAAAAAAAAAATCCAGTTGCGGTGTCTACCCGGTTTTGGCAACACAACCACATCTGCTATAACTTTCCTCAGAATATATTAGTGCTTTATGGACATTTTTCATGAAATACCACACGAACCACTAACCCATGAAGAGTGGTCCAGTACATTTTGAAATTACCTTAAAAAAGCGTTCCATACATTTTATAGAATGCAAAAAAAAAAACAAGAATCTCGTGTTGCCAAAAACTGGAAGGATTCTCATTATACCCTAGGGGCATAAATTCATCAAATCTCCTTCATCTTCATGGTGACCAGCAAATCTCGATTAGCAATTGTCCCGTTTTCTCCCGGAATTTTGGAAATTAGCGCGGTTTAGGTATTTTAATTAAGCACAAAACTGAATGCGATTAAGCCGAAGCACCCTTGCTGGATCTGCGACAGGTTCGAAGTCTTCACAATTTGTGTATGAAAATTTCGCTCAAAACTTTAAGCCTTTTATTTGATTGTTCTCAAGCCTTTCCTTTTTAGATTAATTTCCTTTCACAGAGATCTTTCCAGAATTATTCTAAAATAAGTTTGAAATTCTCTCTGGAAATCCCTTGATTTTTTTATAATAGTACATAAATTCTCTGTAGAACACTCCAAACAAATTTCTTAAAATTCATCCTTTCTTCGTATTTCAAACTCTTTTTAAGAATTCACTTGAGCTTCATTTGTTTTTAAATTTGCATGAAATTCGCCGTGGAATTCACCTCAGACCAACAATTGACAAGGGCAAAACTTGTAAAAATTCACCTGCCGAGAATTGTTTTCAAATTTTGCTCAGAATTATCTTGGAGTTCTCATCTAAATTCGTCTGAAAGTTGTATGGAATTCTAATTAAAACTCTCTAGGAATTCCTTTCGAAATGCGCTTGGAATTATACCCGGACTATCCTTATAGACACACTTAGAAATTATTATTTTTACACGAGACGTAATTCAGCTCTGACGTAAATCATGGAACGTAAACAAAAATGGCATGTAAAATTAAGTGTCCTGAAACTGAAACATAGACAACTCGACGAAAAGTGCGTTTGATTGAATTGATTTTCACGTCCTTTTTAACTGATTCTTATGTCAAAAGGGCCGCTTGCAAGTGTCGGTCTCAGGGCACTGAAATTTACATGTCTTTTTCGTAGTGTGGATCTTCGCCTAATTATTTTGGAACTGTACCCTCAACATTCGCGTTCCTTGGTATTTTTCAAGAATCCTGGAATCCTCTTCACTCTTAAGAGGTCTAGTAAAAGCAATCCTAGAGGTTTTCCTAAAGCTACCTAGAAAATATTCTCTGAAATACCTCTCTAGAATTCATTCTAAAATCTGCTCAAATTTGTTTTGAAAAAAAAAATCTAAAATTCTCTTAATAGTTCTTCAAAGTGACTGTAGTTATCCTGAAAATCTAGACCAGTCTTGATTCAAGAAACCCTTAAATCATGATCAGGGTCTTGAAATCTTATTGTTTTCGAAGAGAGGACGAGGTATAATTTTCCAGATTTGTCAACTAAATTCATGGGATTTTCCCGGTGACTTAAAATTCTAGTTTTTTCCGGTTTTCCCGCTTCACTGGTCACTCTGCATTTCACATATGAAACACTTGTTTTTAATCCCATTATATTTGTTTTGTCTTGAGCACATTTTGAGACCCAGCTCCTTAAGAAAATTATTCCAGATAATATGCTTAACCAAAAGCTAATTCGAGGGCGGATTCCTCCGGTGGGAAATAGTAAAAACAACGCTGATTCATCCAATGATGAGGTCCTACGTTGTGTTTATTTCGGTTAACGAGGATGACTCCAATTGCTCGGCGGTGGTACAGTGAACTCGAATTGCGAATCCAATCAAAAGTAATGATTTTTCTTGCCTCCGAGAGGCAGCGTGCCTACTCGGAGTATTTTGATTTACTGAATATTTTATTTAAAATCTTTGGCATTTTATACAGTTTCATATAATAGATAATAATTAAACCATCGTCATTTGTGATTTGAAACAAAGTGGAAACAAAATACAGATTTAATTCTTTTCAGTGGAACAAAGTGGTGAAATATTTCACTGCTACATTTCGTCATGGCTATTTTGATGCTTCATAGGATTTGCCCTTCATATGGCATTTCCATGGAATCGAGAACAAAAGTGTTGTGAATCACAACAAACGCTTTCATCTCCAAAAGTCTGTAAGGTAATTCCATCTAAATTGCAATAGCAGCAACATTACACTACTTAAACTTTACTGTGAAGCTAATTTTACGAGCTAACCAGGTTTACAACGAAGACCTAGAATACTTAATACAGCCACTCTATGCTGTCAAAGTAATGCTTGTATACGTATCTTTGAATCATAAAAGTGCTACTCCAAGCTATCAAAAAAAAACTCCCAAGCAAGACCACTATCCTAAATTCTCATTTAGTTATTTCTCTGAACTAATCAAGCTGTTAAGAACACAATAAGGAACAAGAACTAAAAGTCAGATAAAAAACATTATCTTCTCTTAAAGCTGGGCTTAGACAAGGCAAGTCAATTGTTCAACTCAGTTGAATTCAACTGGTTTGAACGTGTAAACTATGCCATTTAAGGTATTCCCGATCTTTTTTTTTCAAAAAATCAAATTTTTTTTTCACTTTTTTTTGTACTTTAGACTATATACTTTCATCCCCCCAAGCCGTTTTCCGATCAGCGAATTCGGTGTCCAGGCATAGCTAATGGTAAGAACCCCCAAAATGGTTTTAACTAAAGTCAAAACTTTAAACGCGTTTTTCTCGAAACCACATTTTTTATCGGGCGAAGATTTTTCTCAGAAACTATAAGAGATATTGACTTGAATCTTTGCGCATTTTGTTCCTTATTAAATTCTTTGGAGCTTCTCCTACTTTCAGCCAAAAATATTAACATTTAACATTGTTTGAAGCACCTTAAAGCTGCAAAAAAGCGGGCTAAAAATCGCCTGTTTTTTCATATGGCCGCCATTTTGTTAATTTGCAAGATTTTTTGCTGCCAACGGGAGAAGCTCCAGAGAATCTTATGCAGATTATTAATTTCATCACGAAATCTGTTTCAGATGAAGCCATTCCAGAGAAAAGTCTTCGCC